GGTGTTCTGGGATCCGAGCGGCGGGGCTGATCCAGCGCTGCCCTCCTGGGCCTCCCAGTTGTTTCTGCTGTGGTCAAGGGAGCGGCGGGGCGGGGTGGGGAGACCCCGTGAACTCAGACAAGATGCCAAGTCCTCATCTTGGGCACAAATGGCCAGATGCTTCTGCGTCCGTGAGGAGGAAAGAGTCCCCAGCCCAGGGCAGCGTGGGGAATGCTGAGCGTGCCGACCCGGAGGGCTGCCGGGGGCCCTCTGGCTCGCCCTCACCTCACAGGCTCACCCCGACCTCCGGCACGTGGTCCCCTCATCCCCGGTCTCTTCCTGCGAGAATCAGAACGACCGGACAGCAAAGCCTCCTGCTGTCTGGGCCGTGGCCCGGGGCCGGTGGCAGGCCCTGGCTCACTGCAGGTACGGGCCAGTGTTGGCTGCGTGGATAGACGTGCTTCCTCGGCAGGCGAGGACGCTGCTGACCGCAGGGAGCCGGTCCTACCAGCCGGGGCTGGGGCGGGGGCAGGGGTGGGTGCGGCCAGCATCCCTGCCCGGCCTGGGGCGCGGGGCCAGGGGCCGGCTGGTCCTTCAGGCACGGTGCCCAGGCCCATGGCTCTTGTCGGGGCCCGTGAAAATGCTTGAACGTCTCTTAAAATCAGAAGACAAAATATGAACTGTTTAGGGTCAGAGAAAATGTTTTCATTTTTAATCCAGCCAGGATTATATTTGTTTTTATATCAACACGGTCATAAACTATAACTTCCAGTATTTTTTTTTTATGGAAAGGGGAGCCCGAGAGTGTCAGACGCGGCCCCGGCCACCTCCGTATCGCGGCTGCTTTGGTTGGTCCTGCAGGACGTCCGCTGGCTCCTGGCTCCTTTTCCGAACTCCATCCTTCCCCGGCAAGGGGGTGGGGCAAGAACAGCCAGGCAGGGGCCGGGGCGCCCTAGGGTCCCACCCGGCCGTGCACCCTAGGGCTCATCACACCTGGCCTGGTCCCTGGTGACCACATTCCTCGGAAGGCTTTCTAGCAAAGAGCGAGTCAGAATCCACGGTGACATGTAGGAGTCCCTACAGCTGAGGGACTTCAGTCAAGTTGCTTGGCCTTCTCACTTCGGTTTCTCGCCTGTAAGAGGTGGCAATGACAACGGTGCTCCCTGGGCAGGGTCACTGCGAGAATGTGACGTACCCACAACCACAGGACAACATCTAACACTCAGGAGCACAGAGAGGCTGCCGGCATTCTGTATGAATTCGCTCTTGTCTTCTTCCCAACCGTTACGATGAAGCCCATGGGACAGATGACGGGACCAGGCACCTCGAGGCTGGACCAGCAGCCCAGGCTCCCACGGGGCTGCCTGCAGGGGCACCGGCGTCCGCCCTACTTCCTGTCCTGTGCAGGAGCCCGGCCCGGGGTCTGGTCTGCAGTGAGAGCTCGGCTCTCCGCAGCACCGCCTGGACAGCCCTCTCCTTGGGGGCCCTCATGTGCCAGGACCCCCGCTCAGGGATGCGAGTGCAGCCTGTGTGCTCGGACCGGGAGGGGCTGCCTCTCCCCCTCTCTTCTGTGCAAAGGGACAGACGAGCAGATGCCAGCCCTCCCTCCAGCCGCGTCCTGTCCTGGAGAGGAGATGCCACTCCCAGTTGGCTCCCGATGAGCCACAGGTGTCCGGGAGTTTACGGGCTCCGCCCCCCGCCCCCGGCACACCCCCGGAGCGGAGGCGCAGCTGTGCCGCTGCAGGGGGGACGGGACTGACAGGAGGACCGCAGCCACAGGAAGCGGGAGCAGACGTGCGCTGCCTGGGTGGTCTCCGGCGACATTTGGAGAGCAGGTGGGCAGGCGGCTCACCTCGCGCCGACACAGGGCTTCTGAAAAGAGGTTTTCGCCCCCTTAGGGTGGAAGGGAGCCCACCTGCATCACTGTTGCCAACAGCCCCTGCATGGGTAGGAAATGGAGGCCCCGCCAGGTGACAGGGCTGCCTGGTGGCTGCAAGATGCCAGCTAGGTCTGGACAAGGGTTAGATGCTCTACCCCTGACTCGGTGGCCCGTCTCCTCCCCTCCTTGTTGGGGACAGGAGCTGGGCATGGCACTGCCACCCAGAGACATGGCTTCTCCAGGCACTGCCCGAGGCGACGGTGCCCATGGAGTCCCAGTTCATGCCGGTGGGTGGTCCCAGGGCAGGGCCTGTGCCGTCTCTGCCGGCAGCCCAGGCTGGCACACAGCTGGTGGGCACCAGACTGCCCAGCACATAAACCCTGGAACCCACAGGCCCTGCAGCAGGCCCTGCTGAGCTTCATCAGCACAGACATCTAACAGGGGAAGGTGGAGACCCAGAACCGGAAGGAAGCCAGTCAGCCCACCTTATTAGTGAGAGCACCCCAGGACCCAGGGCACAGCTTCAGCTGAGTGTCATCACGGACCCAGGCCCCAAGTCACCCGAGGAGCTTGTGGAAAAGGCAGATTCCCAGGCCCACCCTCCCCTGAGGCATCAACTGGCCTGGGGTGGAGCCCAGGAATCTGTACATTCACCATGCCGCCCCAGGAATCCTGGTGGGTGCCATGCTGCACGAACTCCACGGAAGGGAGAGGGAGAATTTCACAGCTGCGAGCCTGTGGTCTGGGAGACGCTGGGCTCACTTGCTTATCTTATTCCCCAGAGGTCCCAACACTCACATGCCTCACTGGTCAGACTGGCCAGCTGGAAAACTTTGCCCTCTCCCTGACCCCGGCAGCCACACCAAACAGCATGCCCAGCACCTGGACGGGCGAGTCCCAGGGAGGGGCACTGGGCCGGGGGACAGGGCCCAACCCTTGCCCTGGCTCTAGGCAGCGTCTTGCGAACACCCGGCGACACTCCCCTTGGCCTCTGATAGGAAGGGAACCGGGCAGAGCCCAGGCGGGGTAAAGGGAAAGGTCATACAATTCAGCGACATGGTCTAAATCCACTTGGCAAGACCCAGCATTAACCCCAATAAAAAGAAACACGACAAACTGGGAAACCATTTGCAGCTCAAGTTGCAAAGGGCCACCTGACTCCAGAGTATAAAGAAGACAAACACCAGCACCTCGTGACAGAGAGAAGCAAAGCGAACCCGCGAGATCCCGCCTGTCATCGGCTGGATTAGCATGCGTGGTGGAGGAGGAGCACCCGTGCTGGCAGGGACGGGAAGCAGGGGCCCTGGTGGGGTGCTGGTGGGGTGCCAATGGAACGACCCCGATGCAGGGCGAATTGACAGGATCTATCAAACCCATGAACAGTGCCGCTTGCAGGCAACCGTCCCGGAGCGGCACTCCCTGGAGGGGCAGTGCCACGTGCACTGAGGTTTTCCGCTGCTGCCCTGCCTGTACGAGCGCGCGAAAGACCAGAAAACAGCCAGCCAGTCATCCATTCCAGGGGGCTGGGTAAGTCACTCTCGGTAGCAATGGCAACTACAATAATAATAATAATAACCGCTCTCATCCAGGGCGAGGACCGTGAGTCCAGTCCGGTTCCCAGCCCTGGATAATTAAAAGCCCCACCCAGGGACCAGCAGCCTCTCCATCGCCTGGGGGCTGGTTGGAAATGCAGACTCCCAGGCTCCGCCCAGACCTGCTGAATCAGAATCTGCATTTTAACAAGATGCCCGGTGCAGGGGGGTGGTTCCCTGCATGTTAAGACACTGCATGTTAAGACACTGTTTTTAAACCCTTCCTATACTAATTCCTTTAATCTCGGAACAACGGAACAGCCCAAGGGGCCAGGCCCTCACTGCCTGCCTGCTGGGGTAAGTCCCACGGCGAGTGAGAGGCAGAGACACGCTCCACACACGTGCAAACACACACCAGCCTCTAGCAAGCGGCGAAGCTCTTGAATCGCTGAAAAGGACTAACTTTCAAGGTTAAGTTGCCAGATTGGAAAAAAAAAAAAAAAGCAAGGTGAAGACACTGTATACACTCTGCCACTGCTTGTGGGAAGAAAATAAAAAAGGAAAGCAGAATTTACAGGTAATTGCTGAAATACCCAGAGAGTGTCTCTGAAGAGATACCCAAACGCGTGAAATCAGCAGATGCTTCTGGGAGGTGGAACTCAGCAGCTGGGGGAAGGCAGCCCGGGGAACACTATTCACTGGGGCACACATCTGCAACCACTGAACTGGGAGCCAGGGGCATGCATTAACCTACTTTGCAGTAAGTGTTTTTTTGTTTTTTTGTGTGTGTTTTTTTTTCTTAAAACTGGTGCAGGAAGAAGCTACACACCCCACACAATCCCCACTTAATAAGAATTACACTTTGGGGAAGAAGAAATGGGCATAGCCGGGCCCACCCCAGCTCCCCACTCACCCTTCCGTCTGCCCAAGACGGATGTGCGGAGGGGAGTGAATGGTGCTGGGGGTGGGGGGAGGCAAACAGCGAATTCCCCAAGTATTTGTGACTCGACCACATTTACAGTTTCTTGGAAGGGGCTTGATGCCCTGCACCAGCCAGTGCAGTGGTCCTTACTTAACCAGGGGCGATTCTGAAATGTCTGGAGACGTGTTTGGATGTCACGACTGGGGGTGGCTATGGGCACTGGGTGGGTAGAGGCCAGGGTTGCTGCGAAGCATCCTGCAATGCACAGGACAGCCCAGGATGTCCTGCGCCCTGAGGTGCAGGGGGCGCATCAGTGCGTTGCAAGCTGTCGTGTGCTGAGTGATCACCAGGGGCTCTCGTTCAAGTGCGGGTTCTAATGCCGCAGCCCTGGGGTGGGTGAGAGTCGGCACGCCGAACCCTGGTGCTGTGGGGCCGCACAGAGCAAAGAGGCCTGACCCCACACAGCAGGTGCCTACCCTGTAATCATCGCATGTGGCGGGGGGGGGGGGTGGGGGGGCGGCTAGTGGCTGCTTTCCGTCGGGACCAAAAGGCGGGACACCGAGGACTGGCTGGGGAGGGCCAGGGGTAGCGCCCTTGGTGGGAATAAGCACGAGCATGGTGGAGACCCTGCATGAGTCCAGGATACGGGCTGCCCCGGGACCAGCAGGGGAGGTGGCTGGGGACTCACCATCCAAGGTCTCCACGGAGAGCTGCAGGCCCAGGTTGTGCCGGGGGTTGACCACCCAGTGGTTGCTGGTGGCCGTGATGTCGAACACCAGCCAGCCCTCCTCCGAGGCCCAGAGGGTGCGGCTGTCGAGCAGGAACAGGTCCGAGTCCCTACGAGAGAGGAGGGGGCGCAGGCGCTGGGTCAGCAGGTCACAGCTCAGTCACCCCGTGATCCAGCCAGATGTTGATGGAGACGAGGACCATGCAGGGTGGGGAGGCAGGTGGAGGGCTGCTGGTCCCCAGAGCTGGGTGCATCAGACCAAGACCCAGGCATGGAGACCCCTCGGTAGCTGTGGTGGGAAAAGGGACCTCGGGAGAGGCGCAAAGAGACGCACATGGGGCACAGGGGGTGGCTACGAGGCAAGCTCGCCGTTGAGATCCGTGAGCGGGGTGCCAGGAAGGCAGAGTCCAGGAAGGCAGGAGTCAGACAACCTCTGTGCTGCTGGGTGCCACAGGGACAGGACTTCCCACTTGCCAAACGACTCGCCGTTGGCCAGGTGACAGCTGTCCCAAGCGGTCTACACACATTCTCGCATCCGTTTCTCTCAGCCCCGAGGCGCAGGGACGTTACCATCCCTGTCGAGTACGAGGCCCAACCATGACTTGCCCCAGGAAGCCGGGCTCCAGCACGGACGCCTTTCACCTCCAGGCTACGTCGCGTCTTCCGAGACCACCCGGTGTCAGGAGGCGGACCCCCAGACTGTGTCCCTGGTAGGGGCAGCCCTGTAATTCTCTCTTCCTCACACGCTGCAGCGGCAACATGGGTGGGACCCGACTGACCTTGCAGGGATGGACAGACGGATGGACGACAGCTGGACGAGTGGGCGGGTGGGTGGATTTTCCATTCCTAGCTAGAACTCTAGTGCGTAGAGTATCACGACATCTCTTTTGTACTTTTAACTATAAGGATTCCGAGTTTCAGTATATGTTGAGTCTCTAGATGGCCAATGAAAACAGTGGGCCCCCGCGCCGGGCCAGGCACCGGGCACGATGAGGGGCGACACCCGACCAGCCCCTGCCGTGGGCCATCCCCGGCTCGCCTGGAGTGACCTCGCTTTCCCAGAGGTGAGGGTGAACGTTCCCTGCTCACCGATGAAGCCGTCGCATGCAACAACTTTCACCGAGCGCTCACCGCGTGCCAGGCCCCGGGTGGGAAGGCCTGGCCGGCCCCATGTCCCTGAGCCCTCACCGCAACCATGTGAGGTGGATGGATATGCTACCCAGGCCATCGCGCAGACCTCCACGCAGGCTCCGAAAGGCAGAGCTGCTCTCCCGGTCACAGTGCTAGGAAGTCGAGGCAGGACTGGAACCCGCCCAGGCCACCTGTAAGCCCGAGTTTGCGACCACACAGGAAGACGGGTCTTCTGGACACGACCTTTGCTCGGGGGTAGTTGACTAGTTGACGCCCACTCAGCCCTTGGCTGGAGCTGAAGGGCAGGTGCCCCTTTAGATGAGGCCCGAGGCCCGTGTCTCCCACTGGCCCTGTCCCCCACTCTCCCTTCTGAAACAACAGCCAACCATCCCCGCTCACCTCCCCCGTGCGGCCTGGGGACCGCGGTGTGCGGGGTTGGCCGCATGGCGAGTGCGCTGCGTGCCGGACACGTCAGGCCTCGCTGGGTGCGTCAGCGTGCACCCGGCTCGCGGGGAGCCGCCCAGACACGCGGTCCGCGGTGTCTGCCTGTGTCTCGAGCTCCCACTGGAAGTGCAGCAGGAAGGGGACAGGTCCCTCGGGGAAGCCAGCACAGGGTGGAGAACCGGGCTCGGAGACGGACAGCAGCGGGGGCCCGTGCGGGCGGGCACATCGCGGCGGCCGAAGAATGAACTCGAGCTGCACCTCCTCCCGCGCACGTCTCCCCCCTAACAGTCTCCTTGGCCTAGTCAAGTCCGCGGCTGGCCCTTGGCCACGGGAGGGCGGGACACTCCACGGTGACGGACAGCATGACCAAAGCCACAGGACAGAAACGGGGGGCGGGGGGGGGTTATCCCTACCACAGGCTCCCTGAAGTCCCCCTCTTCAAGTGAGGCTCACCCACGTCCAGAACCCAATTCAGAAAACGCTGACTGACACAATGCATGATCTATGGAATGGGATATAATGAATGAAACAGGCCTTCCGATCCGAGACTGAGGAAACATGGCCACAACAGAAGACAGTGATTGCTCTGTCTCCCAGCCAGCCCGGCCAAAGTCCTCTCTCTGACGCAGGGACAGGGTAGAAGCAAAGGAGTGTTTTCAGCCTTAGCTGGTGTAGCTCAGTGGATTGAGCGCGGGCTGCGAACCAAAGTGTCACAGGTTTGATTCCCAGTCAGGGCACATGCCTGGGTTGCAGGCCATGACCCCCAGCAACCGCACATTGATGTTTCTCTCTCTCTTTCTCCCTCCCTTCCCTCTCTAAAAATAAATAAATAAAATCTTAAAAAAAAAGAAGTGTTTTCAGATACACAAGGGGTTTTGAAGCCCCTAAGTTTGACTTGCATGTCTGAACCGAATAAAAACAAGGAGACGATCTCCCCTAACCCACCCCCTGACCCCCTTCACAGCAGCAGCCTCCCAGAGGCAGTGGCAGCACCGGCCTGAGGGGTGGCCGCCCAGATTGGACACCACACAGGAACACCCTTCCGGCTTCGTCGCCGATCCGCCCCGATGACTTTCCTGGCCACAGAGGGTCCCCAAGGTTGTCAAGGAGCTGGTCAGTTGTCCTCAACAGCTCGATGAGAGAAGAAAAGGCACTCCAAACCAAAACAATCCCCCTCCTGAGTCAGGCTCCCGGGGCCCCTGTGCAAACACCCACACCACCTGGGTGGTGACTCTGCTGGGAAATTGTTCTTTGTAGGAAAATGTGACCAGCTCTCCGGACGGGCTCTTCTGGGCAGCGGAACAATAAATAGTGACTTACGGAACAGAACTAGGCCTTTGATGAGCGGAGGCCCTGCCAAGCGATACTAAGCGTTCTCTTGTTACAGGCCGTGACTCCGAGGGCCAGCTGTTTCGGGCTGGCGTTGACTCACCCGTGAATCAACGCGGACGCACCGGCTCGCCTCCTCCGAGCCACACAGTTTGCGCTTTGTTGCAGCCAGGCCTGGGAGGGCCAGGCCTCCCTTTGGAGGCACCAGGCCAGGGGAGCCTTGTCGCGGCGGGGAGAGCGAGGTGCCGATGCCGGCTTTGCTTTCCCAGGGAAGGGCCCGGCGAGAGGTGGGCCCACGTGGACGGGACCGCGGAGAAACCGCCCAGCAGCTAAGGCCAGACAGAGAGGTGGGGGAGTGGGACTTGCTAGCTGCCACCTGGAGCATCTCGTTGGAACGCAGTATTTCTGAGATCCAGGGACTGAACCAGCCCTCTGTGACACGTGTATTTACCTTGAACACACTGGCCGCCCGGACCCAGCCCGGGGGAGGGCCGAAGGGGGAACAGCTCCGCCCGGCCCACTGCTCAAATCCTAGGGGCTTTCCTGGCCCCGGGTCCCTGGAACTCCCCAGCAGTGAGATCACCGCCCCCGTTTCCCAAACGAGCAGAGCGAAGTGCGGAGGTGAGGCCGCTGGTCCATGTCCATAGACCTTGTACGTGATCTTGACACTTGGGCACTGAGGCCCCTCCCCTCCCCAGCTCACCCTCTCCCCAGGGGATGGGAGACACAGGGAGCTGTTGGATCCTGCTGTGCAGGTTCTTGTCACGACATTGCATGAGGCCGAGACAATTCTAGAGGGGATGAACTCCAGGTGGAGGGAAGCAGAGAAGGCAGGCAGGTCAAGCCAGCTGCCCCCTGCGCTTCAGTTTCCTCCTCTGTAAGGCAGGGATAATGCCACCTTCTCCAGCGACCGGTATGAGACAAGTGGGGACCAGCCGGGGCACAGACTGTCCGGGCTCCCCGGGGCTTCCCTGCAGCCCCGAGCAGTCACTCGGGGGTCGGCGTGCATTCCTGCAGGGACTGCAGGACATTCTGGGGACGCGTCTGTCTCGGGCCCAGGCGTTATGTGACTTCCAAAGGCCCACGAGTCAACAGACTGTACATCCATTCAAAGGAGGGTCTTTTGACCCCCAACATTCGCCAGACAAGTGAGTGTATCCGCACGTCCACAGCCGTAGCTTTTCCGCAGCTCTGACCACTAACGACCCCGGCTGTCGCCGGACCGCGCGCAGCCCTGCCACACACCGGCCCCGTCTGCGCCACCTCTGACGTCTGGGCGGGCCGTACCGCTTGCCGTGACCAGCCGAGCCCGTGGAAGGGGGCCCCGCCATGTCCAGGGCTGGAGGGGAAGGGGCTCAGCCCTTCTCTCCGGGAAGCCAGCCACCGGGTGAAGGGGTCTGACCACTCGGCTGCGGAGCCGGAGCGCAGGGAGGGGAAGGAGGCGGGAGCTGTGCAGCAGGCGGGTCTGGGAGGGACACCGAGCCGGCCCCGGGGCGAGGGGCCACCTTGGGCGCTCCAGCCCCCCCGCCGAGCGCCCCACTTCACTGGTGATGCAGCAGCCACCGCAGAGTAGGACCGCCCGGAGGGAAGACTCAGCAGGTGCCCTGGTCCCTGCCTGGAACGTGGGTCCCCCGAAGCCCTGCTCTCTGTGAGGCACCGGAGACCCCTGAGGCCACGGCGCTGGGGGGTGGTCATCTTTAACCACTCGCCTGAGGACAGCATGTGTCCCGGGCGTGCAGACTCCTCGCAGGGACACCACGAGGACCGGTGAGACCTCCCCCACGGGGAGCAGGAGGACCACACGTGTCACCGGGGCTGGCTTCCACCCCGAGTCTCAGCCCACCTTCCCCCGGAAAGTGCCACCACGACGGAAAAGTGGGTATTTTAAAATTTCCAACGTGGGAAGGCGGAAAGTCGTTCTTCTCCCCTTCTGGCTCCTTAGAGACTATTTGGAGACCATGATCTCAGGGGCCCTACCCAGGGTCCGCTCCAGGGGCAGGAAGACCCCCGCGTGGGATGCAGGGTGGGCGTCACGCCCTGGACCGGGCCCTTGGAGACAGGACGGCTCTGCACACGCGCGTGCGAGGGCACGCACACACACACACACACACACACACACACACGGCCCCAGGGAATCCAGCCCTGAGACAGCAAAGCGGGGCTGAGGGGGCGTCTGAGTGTCACTCCAGTCCCGGGGCCCTCCAGA